AAAAAAAAAAAAAAAAAAAATCAGTTTATGTTAGTTTTAAATCAGTTTTTGAATATTTTTTAGTATATGTTGCGATTACGTATTGTTTATTTCACTTTTATGTTTTGTAAACAATTTTACTAAAAAATAAACCATACATATACATAACAAATTGGTGTAGGATAGTATTATTATTATTATTATTATTATTATTATTATTATTATTATTATTATTATTATTATTATTATTATTATTATTATTATTATTATTATTATTCTTATTATTATTATTATCTTGGAGAATAAGTTAGGAATTAAATATTAGAGATCTTGTCTTGTTGGACAAGTTAAGAATAATGTTTAGGAGTCTTATTTAAAGGGCTCCCCCATCTATTGTTTTAGGCGGTTGAATATTGAATGAAATAAGAAATCGTGTTTTCTTTTGGGAGAGTATCCCGTGTTCTGGAGAGAGTATCTCCTTGTATCTTTTATCTTCCCGTTCGTTCACGCTTTCGCTACATCACAAATCCATCAAAAAAAGCATAAAAGTATACATATAGTTTATAAACAGATTATAACAAGTTACTTATTGCGAAAAACATCAAAAGAAATGCATACTATAAACAATGAAATATTGAGATTAGTATGGATAAACGCTGAAAAACATCATGATCAATAATTATGAATAAACATCAAATAATGTATTCGTAAAATCTTCTAATATACAAAACATAAAATGTATATAAATTAGAAATATAACATCTATTTACTCAACATATAATGTACATTTGAAAGTTTCGATTCTCCTAATGTTCTTGCAAATTGCTCCTACATTGCACCTCCTTCAACGATGATAAAACCATTGGCGGCGTCGGAGTCAGGACCGTCGGACCCTCTATTATCACCTTCACCAACGACGCTCGCGTCATGCCGTCGCTCCTCCACCTTGAGAACGAGTTCTCGATCAGTCTCGCCTTCTACTAAAACAAATGTCGGAATTCCTTCAACCGCCCTTCACAATGTAGGTGAAGGCCTTGGGCTTGCCGCAGTTGGAGGAGCCACATATTTGATGTGCTGTCGACCTTGTGTGTGGCGTTTTATCGGCACCAATAGGATATTTTTTTCAAGAAATATGTGAGAGTTTGGTTTTCGCCATGGAAAGAAAGGGTTTGCATAAACTTTTTTTTTGAAAAGAGACTAGATAGTGGATGGTCTTCGCAAAGACGTTGGGATATTGGAGGAGATAATTAAGGAGGTAATTTCAAGTAAATCACATCTAATTCGATTTATTTTTTAGTTAATAGATAGTTTGACTAAAATCCGAATTCTGGTATATGTGCAATTATTTTGTGGTGATTCAACAATTTTACAAATAAAATTTAATTAGGTGTAAATATGTAATATGAAAAATATAGGTTGATGTAGTGTGTAATTTTCTATTTTTTTTTTTTTTTTTTTTTTTT